TCACTGGCGTTTTGGGACCAAGATGATCCCTATGATATGGGAGGGGACCATTGTTTCTTGCCCGGAGGAAACGGAAGGCTCGTTCAGGCTTTGGCCGAGAACGTTCCTATTCTTTATGAGAAAACCGTCCACACGATCCGTTATGGTAGTGATGGCATCCAGGTTGTTGTTGGGTCGCAAGTATTTGACGGTGACATGGCACTTTGCACCGTTTCGCTTGGGGTTCTCAAGAATGGGTCTATTAAGTTTATACCGGAGTTGCCCCAGAGGAAGCTTGATGGGATAAAGAGATTGGGATTTGGTTTGTTGAATAAGGTTGCAATGCTTTTCTCGCATGTTTTCTGGGGTACTGATCTTGATACGTTTGGGCATTTGGCTGAGGATCCTAGTCATCGTGGAGAGTTTTTTCTGTTCTATAGCTACGCTCCTGTTGCTGGTGGACCCCTATTGATAGCTCTAGTGGCTGGAGAAGCTGCTCACAAATTCGAGACCATGCCTCCCACTGATGCTGTGACGCGTGTTCTCCAGATTCTCAAAGGTAAAAAGCCACATTCACGGGTGTTGCACTTGTTTTTTAATACCTATTCTCCTAAGTGTATATTCTTTGCGAATTTGTGATGTGTGAATTGTCACATAATGTGACTGTTCTTCTGAGAAAAGAATATTATCAGCTCTAGAAAACAGGTTGGTGAGATAATGTAGAAGAGTTTTCTGTGATATTTATATGAAGTGCCCACCAATTGCGAGTTGAGGCACTCATTTGAGGAGTAAAACACACAAGTCTGGGGGTTGTTTTACCCATATAAGTGCCTGCCTGTATAGGCCACAATGTCTGCCAAACTAGTGTAACAAATGACAATCAAATCCCTTTGCGGCTATTTAGACTCTCTCCATCTTTAAAAGAGTTATTTTGAGTAAGGTACATCATTTTATTTTTGGGTAGCAGAATGAGGGTACTAGCTTTTACAGATATAAAACACTCACTTTTGCCCTTAAAAACTTACTTCCAGTCTTCCAAGATTGCTTGGAGTAATTAGCTAAAATCATTTGTCACTTGGCTTTACAGGAGTTTTACTTAAACAGTTAAACTCAAGTTGGATTTCAAAACTGTGCTCTTTTATTGAGACAACAAGAGCTCTTGAAACGAGATTTTTATAGACAGATGGAGTATTAAGTATCTTTGGAGTATACTAGTGGAATATATATTTGGTTTGAGACAAGTGAAGTTACATAATTGCAATTGCTTATTCAGTTACCTGACTTACCTCTCAAGCTCTCATTAAGTATGATTGCTCAAAATAAACCTACTGTAACCAGGTATATATGAACCACAAGGAATTGAAGTGCCTGAACCCATCCAAACAGTTTGTACAAGATGGGGCAGTGACCCCTTCAGCTTAGGTTCATACTCCAATGTTGCTGTGGGTGCATCTGGGGACGACTATGATATTCTAGCTGAAAATGTGGGAGATGGCAGGCTTTTCTTTGCAGGTGAGGCCACCACAAGACGGTATCCAGCAACCATGCATGGAGCTTTTCTCACTGGGCTTAGAGAAGCTTCCAACATCGCTCATTATGCCAAAGTTAGAACATTGAGTACAAAAGTTGAAAAAAACCCTTGGAAGAATGCTCATTCTTGTGCATCTCTTCTTACTGATCTATTCAGGCAGCCGGATTTGGAATTTGGTAGCTTTTCTGTGATCTTTGCTAGAAAAGTCATTGATGTAAAATCAGCAGCGGTAGTAAGGGTGACGTTTAGCGGGCCGAGGAAGAAAAGCCACGATGGGTTGCTCTTTCAGCAGCTTCAGTCTCACTTTAATCAGCAGCAAGAACTGCATGTTTACACATTGTTATCTAAGGAACAAGCAATGGAGTTGAGAGAGGTGAGAGGGGGTGATGAGGCAAGGTTGAATTGCCTTTGTGAGAAATTTGGGGTGAAGCTGGTTGGGAGGAAGGGTCTGGGGCCATCCGCAGATTCTATAATAGCTTCCATTAAGGCTGAGAGGGGAAAACACAAACCCGGTCCAAATCCTCTAAAATCAGGTGGGTTATCTGTTTTTCTTTTTCTTTTTATGTGCTTCACTAAGGCAATATTTGGAACTCTTAAAATGGTAGCGCAAGGAAAATAGTTTTTCTATGTCTGGTTTTTGCTTAGAGTTTTTATTCTTTATATGATAGAAATATGTTAATAAATTGATTTTAAAAATACCTAAAATTGATTTATGGAGTCTTTTCCCAAGCATTTTCTTTCACCCTCCTATTTTCCAAATGGGCCGCAGATATTTATGCACATTTTTATGAAGATTCATCAAAATTGTGCCGCTGATATTCTTCATTTGCTATCTGCTCTCCATAGGTGTGTCAAATTTGAGAGTTGTTGTATCAAAGAAGAGAGTCATCAGGTATATGTTGTGCTTCAGCCGCATGAGTAATTTTTTTTCATTTTATATGCCCATGTTTGGATTCATTTGGCGGTCAAAGTTGAATAATCGGATTCTTAGGGGGGCCGGTTGGTAAGCGCTATTTGGCTGAAATGGCCTAATGTGCCATGTTTTCGAATAGGCCTAGGTTCTTGGAAATATCAGCTTCACCAAGAAAGTCAAGGCCTATTTTTCTCTTGCTTATCCTAATTATTCAACAGAATAACTGAATAAGTATAGTAAGGCTACTAAACATAGCCTAGATTATATAAAATTTTGTGAAATGGGAACTCGCCCAATTCCGGGGAGTTTTTCTAATCCAAACTCGGGCATCACATCCCATTCTCGGGAACAAGTAAATTCCTGAAGGAGGCCTTGATTATACACACACACTCAAATTTCCATATTTCCATATCTTTTCCAGAAAGGCTAAAATAGTACGCAGAGGCAATGGAGCCAATGCACCCAACGGAGATGCTACCCAGATGAAAACAGTTTGTGCACTTCCGTCTAATTCTGGCCCTAAACCAGTGGTGACCAATATCACCAACACTGCAAGACTTGGAAGTACTGTCCCTAGCTCTAGTCAGATTTCAAGCTCACATAGTGACGAAAATGCTAAAATGGTGTATAGACCAGGAAGTATTAATTACGATTCTATCCTCACCCCTTCATTGAATTCTTGCATTGGTGGTTCAGATATTATCAACGTTGATTCAGAAGCAAGCAACAAAACTAGTACTTCAACTCCTCCAAGCACGACTCTTGAAGATATTTTTTCGGGACCATAGAAGTGGTGGTGCCACCCTTCTCCCAACTAATTGTGATTATAGAACACATATATAGCACACACATCTAATCTAACTCCCAGTGTAAACTTTTGAACGACAATAGTTGATAATGAAGTGGGATTTTTTTGACACTACTTGAAACTGTTTATTAAATTGTTTGGATCATTGCCATTTTGAGATCAATTCATTGTTAGGGAAGGGCGTGCTCGGGTCAGCTGAAAATGGAACCGGCCCGGCCGGGTCCGGTTCGGGCTTTATTATTATTTTTATTTTATTTTTCATTTTTTTCTAAAATCCGGGTTGGGTTGGGTATTTTGGGCCATTTGGGTGGTTTGGGGGGGGGGGGGTAAATTAGAAAAAGGAAAAAAAAAAACAAAAACACAAAGTGGCGGCAACCCGGGCCGGCTCCATGCCTAATTTCAAAATAACAAGTCACCACCACTTCTTGAAAATTTGAGAATGTATAGCTCTAAAATATCTTCGATTTGTTATATTATGGAGCCTCATAACTTATTACGAGTAAAAAGTTATGACTCCTGAAAAAATCAGCATCATCATAACTTGAAATGAGCAAAATTTGATGTGTGATACTGATTATATTCTAAATTTAAAAATAAATCACCTTACTCATTAGTCATTAGTTCTGTAAAGTTTATAATATATGACATATATATCAATATAATAATTGAGTTGGATTCATTAAACTACTATTTATCTCAGATACCCCATATCAAACATTTAACTCAAATATTGTTTAATAACGATTCACCATTTTGATTGATAGTGAATACAATTACATTTCGACTACTCACACGTTTTTCTGACTCCGCCACTAACTGGTGGACGATGAGTCACTGTGAGCTAATCGCTAAATTTGTCACTTTTTGAAATTTTATAAAATAAGTCATATTTTTATCTTTTGAATTAAATTTAATAATATTCATGGAAAAAGATCATACTTAAGTTATAACGGTGGTATCATGTGTTACATCAAGCCATCCCATAATATATGGGCTAAGGTCCACAACCTACATATCCTAGAGCACACAAGCGGCCCAAATGCATCCAACTACACGCTTCTATTGGGCCCCTCGGTCAAATGAAAGTGCACACAAAGAAAGCAACCATGATCGAACCAGGCTACACAAGATATCTAAATCAACACTACCATCCATACACGTCACCTCGACAAGTGACACCTCGTCCAACACAAGGTCCATATCCAAAACTTAATCTCGATCAATGCAAGGAAATAGTGAGGACGAAGACCACGAGCACACCTCATCCTAGGGATGGACCGAGAAGGGTTAGCCCAACTCAGGACCCCGACCCGATACTATGCAGGCCCGGCCTGGCGATACTGGGACCAAGAGTGGGGGCCCAAACCAACTGTTTATGGGGCGGGCTACGGGCCCTAATTTTAGTGGACCGGCCCGGCCGGTCTAGGCCTACTCCGGGCCAAATTATTATTTTTAATTTTTTGGCATTGGGCTGCTGCTTGGTGGGCTGGGTGTCTTGGCAGGGTTTGGGGGGGGGGGGGGGTAGGAATAAATTCGAAAAGGCCAAATTAAAAAAAAAAAGACCCGACCCGAGCCCAGCCCGGTTCCGGTTCAAACCCGAGCCCCGCTCGGTCTCAGTTCAAACCCGGGCCAGTACCAGGCCTTCATCCCAAAACCCCAGTCCCGCCCAAATGCCCAATCCCAGCCCGACCCAAGCCCGTCCATGCCTACCTCATCCTACAGTTAGTTAACGAACACCACACATCGATATCTATAGCACAACAGAACTCTCGTCCATAGATTAGTTTACACATGTACGTGCGATTAATGCACCTAACATTGATTACTAGTATAAATACCCCTTGGGGTAAATGTAAACAGTTCTCAAATCATTAATATCACCTCTCTTATGCTTAGTTCTCCTTTTTTTTCTACAATACTACTAGCGGTTTACCGGTGAGATATCAATCATTCACTCCCCATTTGGAGAGGGTATGGTGGGGTCTAATTAATACAAAAAAGAAGGAAAATGAAAAATGCAAGCCTCTGATCTATTTAATCGGCAAGAAACCATGCTGAGCAATAAGGATCTCAAAAGCTTGCATCCTTTCACCTCTTGCAAAACCATTACAATCATAAGAAGAAATCTCATTAATGTTAAGATCAATGCAAGCCTTTACAAGCTCTTCACCAACACGTTCAGCTGCTTCCTGACATTAAATGAGGTCACACATTGCAAGTTACTTAACACAGCAAAGACAAAGCAAGTCAGAACATGATAAAAACTGAAAAACTAATAGTTAACTTTTGGGATGAATCGTAAACATAATCACCTCAATGTGGCTCGTTTGACTATGCCAAAATTTGTTTGCTCTTTTGAGAACTAATCGGATTGCTCAATTTAGGTTTTTACAGATCCAAATGTCAGATGAATCATAACCAAAATATGCCAAAAGAGCTTGACCTGACACAAAGGATACTTACTATGGTGCTGCAAGGGGGGTCGCCACGAATTGATTTTTGCAGAGTGCTTCTATAGAACAAACATTTCTGGTTTTGATCATCTACTAGCATAGCATACAGCTGCTTATGTGAACAGAACACAGAGAGCCTTGGTTTTGCTGGGGTACCATTGTACTGAACAAGAAATATTGTGAGCCATTGGAGGTATCACAGCTCTTTATATATGTGTGTGTGTGTGTGTATATTTTTATGGCAATGGATCCAACGAAATATCTAATCTAAGCAGAGCTATTATCTAGGTGACAAAGTGAAGTATTCATAGATATCAAACTCTCAAAGTTTGCCAAGTGCTAAAACCAGTCAGGTAATTTGGATTGTTTTTACAAGTACAATAAAATCTTAGTATCAATTACTCCCTCCGTCCCGCTATGATTGTCCCATTTTAACTTTTCGGTCCGTCCCACTAAGATTGTCTCATACCTTATTTGGTAAGGTTTGTGTGCTTCTAAACGATTCTTACTTTATTTTTACTTTATCAATTCAATATCAACCGCATAAATCCACTTTTATTAATAACCGTGCCACCTTCTCTTGTACCAAACTTAGGGGAACGGAGGTAGTATTTTCAAGCGTGAGAAAGTTAAGGCTTGATGCTAGAGGAATGAGGAATCTTAGCTAGCTTCTACAGTTCCAAAGGAGCGTCATTTGGTGGGGTTCTCTTCACCTTGTTAATTTGTTTATCATTAATTTTATTCTGATCACACCACAAAGATTTAGATGAACCATCAAACCAGACCAAAAACATTCAAACACTACAACAGATGATACTCTTGTTGTCCCTTAATTAGCTTTGCCTTTTCACGATTTTAACACACACATTTTGATCATTAATACTTCGTATATTCAAATATATATCTTCACATATACAACAACAACAACATCCAAGCCTTAGTCCCAAAAGATATTGGGATATCTTCAGATATGTATTGCTAAAATTATGAAAAGTTATGTTAAAAGTACATCTTTATACAAATCTAACAAGATCCCACATATAACTTCTTAACAAAACAATACTGACTTATGGATGCAGGTCTGGAGTTGGAAAATTATTTGCTGAAGTGAAAACTTAATGTTTCTAGCTTTTGATTCGAAACTTTTCACCTAGATTTCTGGAACCAAACCTATCATTGACGGCTTGACCAATTTACTCATAAAATCCATTGCACTAAACCACGCCTCATAGGCTCATACCCTTTAACCGAAGTCTACATTTTTCATTCTGTTAGCTTTTAAGGTTCAGTAGCCAGTCTTAAGGTCATCAATCCAAACACTATCCTTCAGTTTCATCTTGTTATGCCAAAATAACCTAATTCATGATTGATCTTTAATTACGTTTCCACATAGAAAGGCAGTAAAAAAAGGAGGATAAGAAGCAAACGATTCTCACCTTTTTTCTTAATCTTATGTTCCGAACCTTTGAATTTTCCGTCCTAGTATTGGCCCTTGATGCAGCTTTTACAACCAATGTATTTAAGACTAAGTCTGCAAAATGTGCTTCAAAGGGAAGATGGCATGAACAAAAAGAACCATAAACTAATTAGAACAATCTGGTAAATTAAAGATGCTGAGACTCACTTTTGCTTTGCATGGAAAGGACATGGGAGAAATTCATACATGTTCCGAAGTGTTGACTAGTTCTGAATTTGAGTGATTTGACTCCAGCAGTGACAAATGTCACACATTCAACCACCATTTCCAGAAGAGTCTTTGTTGCATGTGAATTGTGAAATAACTGCTAACAAACAAAAAAAACCTTTAAAGAATTTAATCAAAGATTTAGCATGCCCGACTTATTGAGAGGATGATAAAGAAGTGCAAGTTTCTTGCAGGCGTTTCCCTTTAGCAGAGATTTGTCTTCTCTGACAAAAAAAAACGTAGAATGGAGGCGAGCACTCCGAACTTTATGCAAATGAGCAATTATTCAACGGATTTCCCCCCCGGTTATTCCCGATTCAGGATACTCCAGGTTGCCATAGGTTTAAGAAATGCAGCATAAACAGAAAAGGCATTCGAGTAGATAAAACAGCATTTATTCTAGTGGTAGAACAATTATCATACTACGAGCAACTAGCAAGATCTGATGAAAACAACAAATAGGCAAGGCAGAAGGCAAATGTCTACGCTAAAGGTGACTGGTTAGAACCAATTATCCCAAGCTGAATTTAAGATTTCTAAAACACAAAACACTAGTTCAATGTATCTTAGGTAATTTTCTTGTTGTATATTTGAAAGAATCAGAAGAGCTTCTAAATATAAAACCACAAATTTTGTACAAAATATTAAAATAAATGGACTTCTTTTGCAATTTCATAATTTCATTCCACTCCGATCCTCCAGACTTGATTTGAAATAATACATAAAAGTAAACAAATATGTATGCCATCAGAGATATCAGGATTGCATGACTCTCCTACAAAGCCCCTACACCATCCACCAGTAACCGCTGCTTAATGCCTTTTTTGAGAGGACTTAAACAGTAAACACATTTAAGTATGCAACCAATGCAAAGCTCTCATAGTGGGCAGCGAGTTATCATCTAATCAGCACAATTGTTCGGCCCCCAAAATTCTAGCATCTTTTCATCATCCTTTAAAATGTATCCTTTAACCCCCGGGGTTTACTCTGCAACAAAAGACAACAATAAGACAGACGAAAGGCCTTCACAATTAAGTAATGTTCGTATGTTGCATCTGCAATCCCATGTCACTCTTTTTATTATCAACCAATAATGCGTAGTAACTATAAATCAACTGGGGACAATCTGCAACCAAAATATCAATTGCCCATTTAGCAAGCCAACAAAATAAAACTGTACTGACTAAGTGGCTCTCACATGTTCCTTTCACTTCTGTTTGTTACTTCTTATACTTCCTTCATCCCAAATTATTTGGTGTTTTAGCAATAAAAAATTGTCCAATGATAATAATTTTAGGAATGACCGAATGAGATGCAATTTTTCTCTTACTGCCTTTCAAATTTGCTCATATTACCTTTACCTACATTAAATGCTTTTGTACTTTAATAAGAGATAAAATGCATTTAGTGTTACCAAGGTTGTCAAAGTCGTGCGCCTGAGCGCTTAAGCGCACCAGGCGCAGCGCTAGAGAGGTCCAGCGCCCTATGGATGGCCAGTCGCAGCTTCCCTTCTCAGGCGCAGGTTAGGCGCACAAAGCGCAGAAGCGCAGATGCGATATAAAGCGATCGCTGAATGCGCCTGACAGGGAAATCGTTTATTTTAAGTTTAATTAGGTTGTTTCACATATTAAGAAGCCCATATTTTTAATAAAGCCCATGCAAATAAGGTCAAAACAATGTAACCTACGCTAAACACACAACGTAATTACGTAAACCTACTGTTACATGTTCGCTACCTCGTCCTGTCCCTCCACATCAACCGCAAAGCTTGCAGCAGTGCAGCACTCAACGTTCAAAGTAAACTCTCTCTTTCTTCATCTTCCATTCGTTCCATTTTATTTCTTTTTTCATTTTTCAGCACCTACTTCTTCTTACATACTACCAGTATTTTTTCAGCATGTATATGTAAAGTGTAAAGTACCAGCTTCTTCTTCTTGTACTATATGTCTCTATAGAACTCCTGTTCTACAGTCTAAACAACTTAAACATATATGTGTAAACTACCAGTATATTTTTTCACCCTGTATATGTAAACTAACAGCTACTTCTTGTACTCTGTAGAATTCTTGTTTATATGTCTCAGTTAGTCAATTCTACAGTCTAAACAACTTAAACATATATATGTAAACTACCAGTATATCTTTTCACCATGTACATGTAAACTAACAGCTACTTCTTCTTGTACACTATAGAACTCTTGTTTATATGTCTCAGTTAGTCAATTCTACAGTCTAAACAACTTAAACATATATATGTAAAGTAGTTGTATAATTGTATTTTTTTACCATGTATAAGTAAACTACCAGCTACTTCTTGGAGAAGTACATACTACCAGTCTACCAGTATACATACTATTTAGAACATACTACCATACTACCCTTTTTTTGACCATGTATACATACTAACAGTCCATACTACCAAACTACCATTTTTTTACCATGTATACATACCACCAGTCCATTTTTTGTGATATGGGTTGCTGTATATATACTTTATTTTGGTTAATCGTGGCTTTATTTTGGTCAATCATGACTTTATTTGATCAAGACATGACTTTTTAATGTAGTTGGTTCAATATGGTGTTATATACATCATTCTTGATTATTGGAGAATAGTATTTGCGATATTTTCTGAGCAATGCGCCTGACATGAGTCAGGCGAGCGCTTTTTTGCGCCTTGCGCCTCAGGCGCTGGAATTACCCTATCGCCTTGAGTGCGCCTCACGACTTTGACTACCTTGAGTGTTACACATGAATAAGAATAAGGTCATTTTAGAAGGTTTCTTTTCTTAATACAAGTGGGTATGTTTTCCTGAAACCTCTGTCATTTAGGAACTGAAGTGGTAGAAAGAACTAATTATCACTTAAGGGGCACACTTGTCAATTTCTGAAATCTATACCGTTTATAAAGGGCATACTAGTCATTTTTACAAGATCAAATATCACTTAAAATGTGCTACTTCCAAAATAAGGTTCTTGGTCTGTATTATGAACCGTTAAATATGCTTGAACTTAGAAGAATGAAATATTATGAACTATACAATTCTTCACTTAAAACTTAAAAGGAAGCAAGAAAATTCATTTAGAGAGAAATATTATGAGCCACATAATTATTTCCTTAAAAGGAAAGAACCTTACATTGAGACAAAAAAAAGTAACAACCGTATCTTGGGAGAGGGAATACAAACTAATTTTTTCTTAATGAACACTTAATTAAGAATGTTGAGTATGTGTCATTACCTTACTGGTCGCATCTTCCACCTTCCAACCACTCTTCCAATTCTGCTTCCCTGGTTGCCCTAAACTCCTCAAACTTACTTGAAAAAGACAGCAACTGCTCAGTACTAGCCTTTGCAACAGTTGGTGAAGACGGCACTTTGGTTTCAAGTTGAGCCCACTTAAAGCTACTAGCTTTTCGCCTGGCTGATTTCAATACGCTAGACAGATAACTGCTGTTGTTATCACTGCCATCCAAATTGCTGCTTGTGCTAACACTCCCAATCCCAAAACTGCCCCTGGGGATATTTATATTTAATAATCCTTTTTTTGGTTGGCTTGCTGTCATGACAGCAAGGGAGTATTTGATATCTCTGTTCATCTCTTCAGCAATCGGAAAGCCAAACACTTTCATTGATCTCATTACCGTTATAGAATCCTCTAAATCTTCCATATGTAAAATCACCTCATGAGATTTCTCCACCACATTCCTGTTAAGGTTGACCAGGTTGGGGATTGCATTATGGGTATGTTGTTGGATGTAGAAAAGCCCCACCGATGGTTCATTTGCCAGATATTTTATCATGTCTCCCAAGTTATTAGTTATATCCACAAAACCATCCACCATACAAAGATCATGCATCCTTTTAAGGCCAAAGGCTCATCATCACTGGCAAATTCAATGACAGAAAGTGAGAGCCAAAAGTTTCCAACCTGCAGCTATGTAATGGTGTAACCTAAGGTGCTGTTTTGTGACGTTTTTGTTTTTGTTTATTTTTGTTTCACTTCTCTCAAAACAGGGAACCCGAATATGTGTTTGTCAATCGTATTAAAAGAAAATTTAACAAAACATTTTTCCAATTCTACTGCGGTTACAAAACATTGAGTATAGTTACAAAAATCATATATGTATGCTATAAATAAAATAAATGACACATCCAGTCCAAATCTGCTACAAAAAAGAGTTGAAAATAGAAATTATAAAACACAAATCATGAAACATTATTAACACAAATAAGAGTGATAAAGCTTATCAGACTTTCTGTTAGTGTTTAAACCTCTCTTACCTCCTACTACAAATTGCCTCAACCAGAATGATTGTTCACCATTATGACATTTTATTTATTATTCATATTATTTTTTGAACCCTGATCTTTATTGAGTTTACATAATTTTCTAATTAAAAAACTGTCTATAATATCTATGTGAAAAGTGAGTAGAATATGAATGAATCTATCTACCTATTAATTGACTTCTCTTGTGGATACGATAGTCAAGTAGCTGTAGAAGGCTAGAAGCAGAGAATTAGTAGTAATATCAAAGATTTGTGGCTGCACAAATTAAATGATGGGAATTAGATACTATGCTTTCTAGCTATTAGTTGTGGATCGTTAGATACGGGAACGACTATTTCTTCATTTTAATCATTAACCATTAATCAATCCCAGCATTTTTTGGGAGAATTTTTAATGAGTAAAAATTGAAAATAGTATTTCATAGTTCATACAGTAATAATGTAACAGAAATAGGGAGTTGTAAATTTCCAGTTATGTGACATGCATAAATTCTTTACTAGGAATCTCAAGCATCAAGGAACTGAAGTACAGTGCCTTCCTTAACTATAATGCTTCATGGATCCTTCACAGCTAGTGATATGGAAGTACAGGACCTTTGACATCTCTCTCTCTTTCTCTACATGTGTGTGTGCAATTACATCATGAAACTGACCAAACACATCGTCGTAATTTTACCTTACAAAAATGTATTGCGGTATAAGTAGCTAGCTCTCAGAATTAAGATTAGGACATTACCTATCAACATTGAAATAAGGAGGGGCTCTTTTATTTGAAAGAAAAAACTAACAAAGCAATCCAAATACAGAAAAAAGTTACCAAGACAAAACGAAGCCAATTATTCTGTGCTAAGGAAGCCTTCTGAATTTGGTAAAACAGGTTCTAAGCATGAAAATCCCAAAAGTTCATATTTAGTATGCCAAATGCAGAAGTGAGTCATTTTCAGAAAGAGCACCACTATAGGAGTAGAATGTGAGCATTTTTTTTGCTCAAGATGGACATTTTTCTAATTCTGAAAATGTCATAAACATCGTTTTGGACATTCTTAACCTCCATAAGCCAGTCAGTACTGTAATACATACATATCCTTCCTAGCCAAAAAAACAATGGCTAGGTTCTAAAGCAGAAGATTTGTTCCAGATTCCAGAAAGAGTAATGCTAAAGCATAAAACCTAGCCAAAAATGACAACATTCTTCAACAATAATGACATAACTATTAGAGACAACGCAGTCCTAAACAGTGGCGGACCCAGAAGTTTTCCGAAGCGGGGGCACTCCCACATAGATGAAAATGGGTCGAGTCGAATTGAGTGTATCATTGGTCTTTTTTGTCAAGTGCATTCAAATTAATATTTTTAACTGGAAATAGATTACTCAATGACGACGTCAAGCAATGAACATAAATGGATTATAAGTCTAACTGTGAACTCATTAAGACAATTCTAAACAATAATATTTGACTTTTTGAAAGAAAGACATAATTTTGCGGATTACAAATGACTCATCTTGGCGCCGTTTTTCTGTTTTTACATTAGAATTTTAGCTATTTTTCCTACTATAAAATGATCAAGATTTCATTTTTGAAGTAGGATCATGTCGTTGTTATACATTGTGCCACAAAATTTGTTGATACTTGTCTGAAATATAATACTACGTACTATCGTGTTAAAAATGAAGTACAAGTCAAGTTTAATTAGGAATTCATCATTTAATACAACTTTATTTAATAATATGATTCTATAAATCTACCTTTTACGAGTATCATATTATAGAAAAAAATTAAAGGGTCTGTCGGTTTGAAACTAATTTATCGTGAATTGACACATTTTTCATGTTTGGACTTTTATTCAAGATAAAAGTCTTCAATCTATTAGGTTTATCCCGCATATTAGAACCCTTGTCATATCTTTGAACTTTAACTTTGGACCGACATCATTCACACCAAGTAAAACATCATCAATGCCACTTTTCAAAGAAAGTGTATGTAACCATATAACAACATATCTAACTATAAGAATTTGCTCCATCACAACTTCAAAGTTGTTTATATTTCTTACTACAATTATTATATGTCTTCGACAGAATCCTATATATCTAATAGTTTTTTGAAATAATGCCAATATGATTGAAATTTGAAATAAAGATAGTGGACAAAATACGGATTATGACTTAGATACTACCATAGCAATTTTAGTGACCATGATTCTGTTCATTAATTATATTCCGGTAATATTTATGAAAAATACTCTAATTTTTTGTCCGGATAGCAGGGGCACAATTTTTATCTCAAGTACTAATACTAAACTTCATGGTCGGAAGCAGGGGCACTTGCCCCCCTAGGCCCCTCCCTAGGTCCTCCACTGGTCCTAAATCTAGGAAACCAGAGCTGAAAGGAATACTACCACAAAATCAGTGTTCTAACCACCCTAAAAGTAAATATCATTTCTAATGTTCACAAGCAGCACAGCGCAGCACTACTGCAGCAGTATAAGTGTATAACACAACAATAAGGTACTCCGTATAATATAAAGATGGTTGGATGGTTAGAACACACACCGCACTCTCATATTCTACAGGCGCTTAGATGCAGGGCAGGTTCTGAGAAAATGCAGCCTTATGCAAAAAAAATAATTGGGCTTTCATGTCCCAAACAAATAAATAAAGCAAAAATAAAGATGAAAATAGTGATGAATTACCGAAAATTTATGTCAAAATACAAGTTGCTGACGAACTATTAATTGTGAACCCAAAAAATACTTATAATTGTACCAATTTGTTAAATACAATTAGTTCAATTACTTAATTAAATCAATAACAACCTCTTTGTTCAATTGGATTATAAATTATTCATGCATAATAAATAACTAAGATAAGAAACTCAATTACATAATAATCAACAAGATTAACAATACATGAGAAATTAAAAAGATTAATAATTTATAATTTAAGAGAGAAAACTTTACCTCGTTCAGCGAGTCTGCGAGATCCGAGCGGAATCCCCGATTCAACAGACTGGAGGCGTTCGGTAATCCTCCTGGACTTGTCCGGCCGTGGTGGCGGCCTTCCTTTGTCACTTGCAGAGCCAATTGCCGATGGGGGGAATGAGGAAAGGTGTCGATAAACCAGTACCTCTTTTTTTTTTTGAAAGAGATAAACCAATAACTCTATTTAACAATTTTACTTGCGGAGTATTTCATTAAAAAAAAAAACAAAAATTCCTTTTGTACACGTTTTTGTACCGATCAGTACACGCATGTGTCTGTGAGAGTTTTTTTTTGTCTGTGAAGTGCGGTCCACAAACAAAAGCTGGTTTGTTTTGTCTGTGAAATTTTCCACAGACAAAACAAGCGAACTTATGTCTGTGGACCGCGCTTCACAGACAAAAAAAACCCTCACAGACACATGCGTGTACTGATGGGTACAAAAACGTGTACACCAAGAATGGTTGAAAAAAAAACAATTTTACTTATTTAGAGCCCGTTTGGTAGTACGAAAATCGGCTGATTTGACTGATTTTGTTTAAATTTATGAAGTTCTGGCTGAAGTGGCTGCATTGGCTGATTCTGCTGATTTAAAAAAATTATTTTAAAAATATATTTTATTGATAAAATAATGAAAAAATTACATGTAAAAATAGCTAAAATGATCATCTACAGTAACTTCAACCAATACAGCCAGAAAAGTAACTTCAACCTTACTTTTTCTGCTTATTACACAATTCAGCGCACGAAAATAAAAGTTACGTGTTTGGTGAAAAAGTTGGCTGAAAAGCCTGATAAGACGAAAAGCAGTGTTACCAAACGGCCTCTTAGTTGTTTAATGTTTAATTAATTTGTTTGTCCAATTTATACAGTACACCCGGGTGGAGTGCCTATACCGTCCAGCCGGCTGTACGGTGAACACCGTACAACCGGTGACATTTTGGTAATTTAAATGTAATTCGCGGCTTCTGCTAAATGAGTTATAATACACTTCTAATGAGCATCAAACTTATTCTCTTGAGTATTATCAGCCTAAAAATGAGCATCTTGATACCTGCTTCATATCATCTAATTCATTTTTTTTCTTTTTCTTTTATAAAAACCTATTAAATTATATCTATACTCAACTCTTATGAAATTCATTATGTGAATCTAATGTGATATGATACATTTGAAATATGCATTAATATGACATTTTAAAAATGAGCATGATAAATATACCAAATGAGCATACGTAGCATAGCGAATGAGTATTTCACCAATATCAAATGAGCATACATACTTGCGAAATGAGTATCGAAAAATTCAGAAGACTCGTTTAAAATCTCCAGTATGCTCAAATATTAAATGAGAATACATAACCTATGAAATGAGCATCGAAAATTTAAAACGTGTATTACATCAATATGTATGGATATGACATTTTAAAATGTATGATATAATGGTAATGTAAAATGAGCATTACACCAATACGAAATGAGCACCGTAAAATTCAAAAAGCTCATTTAAAATATTTAGTATGCTCAAATATCAATTTGTGTACGTTCATCTCAGTATAACACAAAGAAGCATCAATTCCTTATTTTAGACCAACCAATTTTATTGTGCTTATTTTTCAAACGAAATTAGAAGAGCAGGCACAAAGGCATATATAATTCTTAGTTGTTTGCAGTGTGTGTTGAATCGTTTGGAGAACAGCGGCCTTGTACCCTCTTGTTAGGGTTTGGTTTTTCGCCAACTTCCGAGTTCGGCCTTTCTGGTCCACTTCGATGCCTCCGACTTTCGATGGTGGTGGGAGTTTCTAGGCGAGGCGATGCTATTCAGTTTCGGGGTGATTTGCTTTGATGGAGGGCAGTGGTTGGCATGGAGTGATGCTGCAGCATACCGGAAGAGATTCATGCATCTGGCGGCAGGGTTTGGCTACATATGACGGCAAGGGGTTCAGTAATGGCTATGGACGACTTCTAGGGAAGGAGGAGGATGGCAACACTGCTGAAATCAGTGGCGGATCAATTAGAGTGGTACTAATGGTACGACCTCCTCCTGAACCACCACCATGGATTGTGCGAGAGGCTAGAGTTCGTGAAAGTTTTCCAATAAATTCTCGTTATTTTGTCATTGGGTTTCTTGTTGTCATTGTTGTTAGTTTTGTCAGTTTGTTTAAGAATTTAGCCTTGTTTTATGTCATTGAGTATGTTTGGATCTATGAGAACGTGGATTGTTGTGTCAAGCCTGTTACATGGTTAGCGATTCGTGTTGCTGAGGTGACCGTTTCTAAGTCTGATCATAGAGTTTACAGTCACAGTTGTTGGAGTCTGGTTGGTGTCAGAATTGTTTTTCTATTGATTGATGTAATGATCCTGAAACTTATGATATGAATAAAGGCTAGTTATTGGATGATAAAAAAAAAAGAACAAACGGAATCATAAAAATGAAAAAGAAAAGTTAAAGTTAGAAAAATTAAAATTCAAAATTATTGGAAGAGAAAAAAGATAAAGACAAGTTAAAGTTAGAGAAATTGAAGTTCAAAATTAAAAGAAAACAAAAAAAAAAGAAAATTGAATCATAAAAAATGAAAAAAGAAAAAAATGAGAAGAAGCAACGAAAGATAAAGAAGCTACTGCTTCGCTCCTTCATGTGGTGGCCTCAGATGCTCCAACTCGTTCCCATCTGGGAGAAGTAAAGAAGGAGCAACTACAAAAAGGAAGAAGAAAAAGATGCTTCAGCTCAGGGATGGGGTGTCATCCTTTTTTTTGGAAGAAGAAAAAGATGCTCCAGCTCAGATTATTACGCACTACAAAAATGTCGGGCCTGGGAGAAGCGGAGCAACTAAATGGCATTCAAAGTGTTAATAATTGCAACAATACCCGGTTGTACGGTGAGGACCGTACAACCGGGTGTACAGTATATTTTGTACTTATGCATCTGGTTTTTTAATAATTCTTTACAACTTTCACCCTAATTATCATAGGTCCCTGGGCACCTTCTCTTTCTATGTTGCTCCCTGCGCACACGACTTCTTCCTTCCATTTTTTCTTTATTTCAATAATTAAAAAACTCTTCCCAAAATTGACTCAATCTGAATTCTAAAAACATTAAAGATAATGATAATCTTATTGAAATATCTTCATGACTCTATTTAACTAGTAAGGATCTAATAGTTGCATTAAAATTATTATCTTCTAAATAATAATGCTCACCAACTGTTTGTAAAAATTCCGAGGTGAATTTTTGTTCCTTTTTTGAGCAAATTTTAAATAAACTTTGTTGTACTTGAAAACAGTATTGACTATGTATATTTTATTTTTCATAATAGTTCTTTTTTGCAGTGATTTAAATGGCTTTGACGCCACTTGAATTAAGGAATTCTTGATTTGGTTTGTTATTTTCAAAGTTTTATGTTTAAATAATTTGCTATTAGATTCTATGTTCGGTTTTTATATAATGGATTCAACTATTAATGATTCTTATGTGATATTTTGAGCGGTTAATGTTATACTTTTCTATCTTTACATTTAAAATGAGCATTCACCAATTTTACAATGTGCATTCTGTCAAAATTGGTTGAGCTTTATTGTTAAGAAAAAGAAAGATTTATTCTAAGTTGTTTTTAATGAATATATGTTACATGTGTGAGTTAAAGAAATGAGTTTTATGTTATACATATATATGAGCATCACTTTCAAAACAATGAGCATTGGTATAACATTATAAAATGAGTAAAAAAATAGTTTTATGCTATACCCAAATGAGTATAATATTTACATGAAATGTGCATCAATATAACGTTTTAAGATAAGTACTATTACGGCTTACTATTCAATGAAGATTTTTTATGCTCAACAGGTTTTGAAATTTTTATTCTCAATTGCAGAGTTTCCAATGTTCAATAGAGGAAAGTTGATGCTCAATGAAAATATCTTGATGCTCAATGAAATGTCTTGATGCATATTCCAAAAGTTTAATAATAAATTAGATTCTTATATTGGAACCCATAGGAGTCTATTATAGACATAATTTAAAAAAATTATATAAAAGAAAAAATAAGAAAAAGAAAGTGAATCAGAATTATGAAGCGGAGTTCACAATGCTCAACAATACTCAACAGAATAGCCCTGATGCTAATTAAAAGTTCATTAATGCTCATTTAACAAAAACCGTGATTTTCATTTAAACAGAGGATATTTTATGCTCAATGAAAATCATTATGTTAAACTAACATAACCTTACGATTTTCATATATCAACGAACATTTTGTAATTTACGAATACTCATTTGGTAGTGATGTTATGCTCATTTTAAAATGTCATATCAATGCATATTTCAAAAGTATCATATTACATTTAAATTGGCATATTGAAATTCATAGAAGTGTATTATAGATAAAATAATAAGTTTTTATAAAAGAAACAATAAGAAAAAAAAATTGAATTAGAAAATATGAAGCAGAGACCGTGATGCTCATTTTTAGCCTCCTAATACTCAATAAAATAGATCAGGTGCTCACTAAAAGTACACTAATGCTCATTTAGCGAAACCGTGATTTTCCACTTAAATTACAAAAATGCAATCGAAAAAAATTGGAATGTATTAGTCAATGGGCTTGTCTTCATCAGTTGGGATGGATGTACCCTACACTCGGATGTAGGGTATAGGGGCTGATTTGTTTGGCTTCTGCAAATTGAAATTTTGGGTTGAGCAATTGGATGGCCGAAAAGCACGCGGGTTGCTTTTACTCTCTATCTTTCTTACAGACAAGTTGTCTAATGCTACTACTACTGTGTCACGCCCCGAACCTACCCGAACACGTCAACAACCCGCCGTACGGTACAAATAGTCAACCACAGTCCAACACATCCATACTATAATAGCCGTCTTGAATACCATTCACACATAGTACATCAATAAACAAACATAATGTAAAATATCATTAAAGCAGCGGAAACATTAATACAAATGTTCAAGCCACACTTGGCAAACTTAAGTATACAAGCCCCCAATAATTATTCAGAAAAATAATATCCATGAGCATTAATGTAATTGTTTTTAAAATAGAACGGAGGAAGTACGAACCACGTCTTCCTTCCTAGATCTTCCCGAAGCAACGGGCACTGGTAGCAAGCTTAACTTCTACCTGAAACTGTGAGGTTAGTGGCCTCCCCGTGAAGGGGAGGTCAATACTTTGAAACATTTGAAAATT